GAAAGATACATAGAATAGATTATTACAATACTATTTCGTGTATGTTTTCTTTCTTCGTGCTGCTGATAAAGAGTGCTTTTCAAGTGTATAGCTCAAAATTTATAGATTTGATGGCATTAATTCCTTTTTCAGCTTTGAAATGTCATTATGAGGAGTACATAAGAAAATCCACTTCATGGAAAATTGATTGTTGAAACTTCCTCCTAACTGAATAAAGATATCCTTAACAATCTCCTGCCTATCGCGTTAATGGAATAAAGCGAACAACAAAATTTAGATGATTTCACTCGGGACTCCGAATAACCTGAAAAGAAGGCGGACATAATTTAGATTCTGGTGGATCGATATAATTAAAGCTAAGCAGTCCGTTTTCTTGAAATTTTATCACTTACTTAGAAATTTACTGTTTTTGTTGTCATTTCCTTCGGTAACTGTTGTGTACATAAGTTCACAAGGAAGCTTTAGTTATACCACAAATATTTTGTCATACTTATAGATATATATATGTTATATTGTATTTATATTATATTATATTATATATATTATATTGTTATAGTTCCTCTAATTATTCAATGTACGCTTGTGATTATCATTTATATTGTTATGCTGTTAAAAATTTCAAGAGTAAAATTTGATGATATACAAAATTAATTATTGTGTTATAGCATGCGAACTATTCGTTCATTTTAACGTTTCCGCAGCTTCAGATAGATAATTATCTCTATTAATAACCGAGAGCCCAAATTTTACTGGACTCCACCCATTGCCGTTTACATTGCATAAAGAATTATAGCCGAGATCAGAAATCAAAGTGTTTAGTGAAGGTTCAGTTCAGTGTTTGTTAAAAGATTCTTGGTTTACGTTGAATTATTTTAGGAAGTATTTTTGATCGCTTTTTCTGCTTTTTACAAACAAGTTTTCTTTTTCTATCATAGATTTGGGTTTTGTTATGGAAAACTACTTAATATGTATTCTAGGATAGTCAAGCTACCTTGTTTTGCTGATTGTTATTTTTAATGTAATAATTTATTTATTTATTGTGTATGTGATACCAGTCGTTTAACATGCACTTAATCTGCAGTCATCGTGAAACATCCTGCATAACGAAAATGCAAGAGCGCAAAATTACAAAAACTGAACGTTCTTAATTCTTTTATCGGAAATGAGCAACGTTAGAAAAGGAATAAGGACCTGAAGTAATGCAAAAGTTTTAAAACTTGAAAAAAGTAGTACCACTAAACAAGAAATTAGAGGAAGGTGCTTAAAACCCTATTCACTGTAGATCCTCTAAAACGAGGTAAAAAAAAAAAAAATTCCATCATCCATCAAAGCGGTAAAAAAAAATTTACCGCTTTGATGTTGGTGATAATAATAACAATGGTGGGGATGATTATTTCTGAAAGAGAAAATAACTGATAAATCTGAAGTTCTAATTTATTACAATAATGAAGGGGATAGAAATGTTCTGGAGAGAAGTAGGTCTATTTGGTTATGGCAAAGCACTCAAGGGCTATTTGCCTAAGGGGAGGAATGCTTTCGTGAAGAACTAAGGGAAACTGCTTCGCATACGCATTACACATGGGAAAAACCATGAAACTGCCGATGTAGGCAACCCGCTCGACGGAATTTGAACCCGAACCGAGCTGGTGTTCAGCTCGGCCGTTAGTGGCCGAAGCTTTACAAGTAAAGAAAAGCGAAACAAATTTATCTTTAAGGAGCTAGATGGAAGCCTAAAATCCTAAATATTGAAAACATAAATGAAGAAATGTGAAGCAGAGAGCAGTTTTTATATTTCATCTAGGTGCCTAGACAAAAAAACGTTAGAAGGAATTTTTAGGTACTAGATTTTGCTTCATCTATTATACAAATACCTCCCTCTTTTTGATGCTCAGCTCTTTGCCGATCACTTTCTTTGATCCATTTAAAAATTCTCAACGTTTGGAAATTAAAAATGCTTTAATAGAGTTAAACCAATTTATGTCGGAAAGGAAATTTTGTGTATAATTTTCATACTATTAACTCCATGTCCAGATAATAAGTGTCATTCCAGCCAAAAGAAGGTATCTATGGCAATAAATGTTTTCAGGTAAAAAAATTATTTTCTGCTTTGTCTTTTCCGAAGCTACAAGGAAATCCTTATAGCAGTGGTAATTTCTGTATTTCTGCTTAAAATCTCACGATAGCATCAAAAAGATTCAGGTAGCTATATTTTGATTCATGCTTTTGTTCGAAGAGAAAACAAGTGAATATATGCTTTACCAGAATATAATTATTAAGCTGACTCATTAGATAAATAAGAGCTAAAGTGGTAAAAGCGGTGCAACAGATTTGTATATGGATATAAAAATACATGATATAATATTTTCTTAAGGAAAGAAAACTATAGGTTGGTTTATTTGATTATGTTTATTATGATTATGTTATGTGATATTATAAGATATGATATATTACAAAACTCTTGGATACATAACATTTACAGTAGGTTTGCAGTCGGATTATAAGGCAAAGCCGATATAATTTTGATCCCCAAAATAGGGATGAAGAAGAAAGAAATGTCACTTGCTGTGCACCCAAAATAAAATAGACAAACCGAAAATTTGTAGCCTTTTTTAAGGAAAACTGGCTGCTTTTCAAATTACTCTGGAGATATCAAAACTATGAAAACTCTCATAAAACCCACTCGTTCGCAGGATTTGAGCCCATGTTGAATTAATTGTAACTAATAGTAGCTGGCAGTTTTACCACTCGGTTTCTAAGAAACATAAATAAACTTACCTTTCTGAATTTTGTAATTTGATTTAATTCACTAACTGCGTAACACAATTTGCCGCTTTGATGCATTTTTATTGTTCCTCATTTGTAGTACACATTCAATATTAAATCTGTAATCAGCATATTTAATGTGTATTACTTGCATCGCGCTGAAATGAAAACATTATAAGACATACTTCCGTAATTTCCTGCATTATAGCCCAGTTTTTCAAAAATTAAACTTTAATCAGTTCCCTTTAACTTTTCATTTTAAGTTATTGTATACTGAGAGCCAAAATATGATTTTTCGTTTTTTAGACCTACAGTTATTAGTCCTTACTTTTATTGCGTGTATCGATCAACTTAAAGACATTCCAAATTTTCATAGCTAAATTTTGAAAGTCGCCAAATCTCCTTATTTGAATTTTATATTTTTAGCTCTTTATCTCTGGAATATTAGCTGCTTTTGTTAATATCAAATATTTCAGACGAATAGATTCATGTATATTATTTTCAGAACAGTAAAGAGTTCAATGCTTGAATATATTTCTTGAATACTGGAGTTTTATTATTGTATTATTTTATTAAATAAAAATTATTTATTTTAGTGAATATAGATCAGAAAAATAAAATAAAACAAAAACTGATAATTTTATGCTTCATTTAAAAATATATTCAGGAATAAGATATATTTTTAAATCAAATCATAACACTAATGACATATTGTAATTATTTTCTATATCAACTTTTGTAAAAAGAAAAGGAGAAAATGAGTCAATTTATGAATTTACTGACTACTTATGAGGTATAAACCTATACTAAAAGTTTTAATTATTTTTGAAATAGTGTTGTATCATTGTAAATTATTAAACCTATAATAAGTTTAAAGTAAATTAAAGTACAACTTTATTTACTGTAAACGTGAGACTAAAAACTCGATCTATAAGAAAACATTAATAGCCATTATACTTCACAAAAAATAATGCTATACCATATTTTATATCTAAAGATTAATAAAAAGTAATTAAAAATAATCTCAGTAAAGTAATCTTGAATTTTTGCTGACGCCTCATTATTGAGCCTGACGAGACAGGTCTGAGGCTGTGCTCTGCCTGTTTCTTTTGGCAGTAGCTGCCAAATACCGGTCTTCATTCGGCGTTGTAACTCTGGGGCGACCAGTGCTGTAACGTTTACTCACATTATCATCATCTTAGAGTCGTTGCCAAAGCCTGGAGATGACACTCTGGGCAATTCCAAGTTCGTCTGATACTTCCAGTTGGGTACGCCCACATTCCAGCCGGCCGATAATTCTACCACGTAAAAAATCATCGAAATGTATCCTTTGTGTCATAACTATTCGGTTATTGCAGTGAAATGCTTATAAAGCGCTTGCGAACAATTTTACTTCTTTGCCTGTATTCCTTATATATCACTCTCTTACACTCTCGTAATTGTGACGTACCATCGGTGTCATCTGGTTACTTCCTGAAATTTGCATATGATTCTTGAAGATGTGTGTAGTGATTTTACAGGTGATATATTTATTTTAGAGTTCGATTTCCGCGTGACTCCGAATTATCCTTAATTTATGGGCATGAGTGTACTTAACGGGCTTTTTCATGTCGTATAAACTTAACAGAAAAGCCTTTTTCTCGTTGCGTTCATAAAATATGTTAGTTAGCACGCACAATCCTTTGTTAGTTATACTTAATGCACTGTTTACGATTTTCGGCAATCAAAATAGATCTACAAACTGACAATTTACTGATAGTGAATTTTCATTTTGGGTTATTTTCTACGGGTTTCCGGTACGTAACTGCCCAGAGAAGTCTCGTAAAATAATTAATTCTAATTAGAGTACTTTTAAATTTATGATATAAATTTTTAAATATGTAAGGGCTATTAAAAATGAAATTTTTTAGTATTTTAAATGTAATTATTTGAAAAATTTTGTTATTCGCCACCGTTTTCAAAACTAATGATTCGCCTTTAATTACCAAATTTATTTATTCAAATTTAGCTATGCATAAAATAATTTTTAGTCTCTTATCCTTTAATTATGTTTAATGGAGACAATGCCCACAAATTACTCAAAAGTTTCATATTTTATAGCAAACAGTTAGCTACCTTAAAGTATTAAAATGCTTAATTTAAGAATATATCGAGGTATATACCAGTTTACAATAGCAAAAACAGCCTTAATTATTAAGATATACACAAACAAATAAGGAAAATAAAATTATAATTACCTATGGGGCGCATACGCTTGTCGTATCTACTTTTGTCAAGTAGGTAATCTAAGATCTGTTTGTCTGAGAACCCGAGAAACCTAAAACAAAAATATTTAAATGAATATATCGTACATTAATCCAATACATAATTAAAATAGTTAACATATAATTAAAATATTTAGATACCTTGGAAAATATTTGAATGTAATTTTAACTGCACGGCCACAAAACATACTTTAGAATATTTCCTCTTCCCTTGTAAGCAAAATGCACTATTAATAACTATGGATAAATTAATTTTCTGTTTAAGTTGAAGCTTATCTCTTGTTCGTATCTTTAGTTCAGACCCATCCGTTTACCTTATCTCTTTGTAACAATATATATGCGTTTATTTTTAAATCCAATAGATGACATCACTAATTGAATTCCGAATGCCAACTTTTACCCCATATTGTGCATACGGGAATTTGTGGGCATTAGTACTGCATACCTCAATTAATATTAAAGCCCATCCAAATATTTGAAAAATCAAGATAAATAAACATTTCTCCTTTTTCAGTAGGACAAATATGTATTTTCTGCAATGCAAATGACAGCATTATATATTTTCTTATTTTATTTCGAAATTATTGAGTTAAAATAGTAAATATTTTTATTTCCATAAAACAAAAGAGGAAACACCCTTTTTTTTTCTTAAATGAAATTTGAAAAGTTATTTTTACTTCTTTAATATATCTAAATATGGAACTCATTTATATTTCAACTAAATTAAATTAAGTCAATCAGTTTTTTTACGTATCGGTTGTACAAAAATATCCAAACTTTCATAAAAATGCCTTTTAATCTTATATAAAAACATGGTCTTCCATAACATTATAAGTTCGCCTACTACAGGTTAAATGATTTATAGTTATTGGGTTATTGAAGATGTCAAGCAGGATATGATGTCTTTATTAATATAAACGTATTTTTATGTATCCAAGGTTTTTCCTAATGATCTACTGCCTTTGTCATCAAAGATGTCTGATATCATTTAGGTCATTTATAACTTTTTTTAAATAATTGAGTACTCATTTTAAAACAGTATAGATATACAAGTACTATATACTTCTATTTTCATACTAATTAAAAGAAAATTATTTACCTGATATGTTCTAGGAAAAAACAAGAAATGAACGTAAAATTTATGGCTCTTTGGTGGCCAGAAAAGATAAAAACTACTATTTTAATTTAGGGGCCTCCCTTTGCGCAGCTGTTAGAATTTCCTATCTTCAGTACCATGAGTCTCGATACCACATGGTCTCATTAAGAACATCATCAAAGAAATAGATGCTATCCATAACACTTCTGAAGATTTAGACTTCACCTCTATTTTATCAGCCCACCAGCGGTCGAGCGGTAAAATCACTGAACACTGGTAGTTCCGACCTGGGTTCGATTCCCAGCGAACGGGCTGGCTGCATGGGCACCTTCGCGGTTTTCTCCATGTGTTGCATGTATACGAGATAGCTGCCCTTAGAAAGTCCCCTACGAATGCATCACTCCCTTTAGGCAGATAGCCCTAGTGTGCTTTGCGACAATCTACCAAATCTCTACTTTTTCAAACATCCAAAAGTCTATTCATGTCTACTTACTGATTTTTACGCCTGAGGGTAAAATCAACAAGGAGTTCCTGTATCATACTAAAGCGCTCATTAATGTCTACATTAACAAGTGAGTTAGTTATATAGACTATTTCTGTTGAAGGTGATACCCAAATAGTTAGCAGAATTCACCCTAGGGACTTGGGCTCCGAAAAGCTTACCTTCTGACATGATAGTGTCCCTTTTCTTCTGGTTGAATGCACGTCTTCCTGCTGCACCATCTCCACTAAATTTCCACTAAATTCAGTTGTTTTTCATCATTTACCGAATATCGTTTCTGAAATTATATTTGAAAGCTTTTATAATAACCTAAAATCAAAGGGTGAATGTTAGAACGTGTATTTGCAGGAAGACAGACCAATGAGTTTTCAGGAGGAGGTATGTGCTGCACTGTTATCTAATTAATAAAGCTCTTTTTACTTCCTTGTACGAAGTAAAAGAAAAGTATTGTAATCGCGAAAAGCTTCAGGCAGCATATTTCAACGAAAATATCCACTTTGACCGCTTTCGAATGCAATTTAACGATGTTTTTGCGTGATATCTATACGTAAGGACAGAATAAAAGAGTCTTTTCCTCCAAAAAAACTAAAAAACTGCTTTAAAATGAATTCTGAAGAGAATTTTTCGTGGCGTCTGTACGAACGTATGTACGTACGTACGTACGTATCTCGCATAACTCAAAATCGAGTAGGCTCAGAACGTTGAAATTTTGTATATAAGACTAGTATAACATGTAGATGTGCACCTCGTAATTTTGGTTTCAATCGGCCGCGCCAAACGTATATAAATATATTTATAAATATATCCACTCTGTTACCCGGCTCAGTGATCTCAGTTTCTTTACTCTTATATGTTTGTAAATTGTACATTTTTTGCTCTAAAAATGATTGAATTATGTTGTTTTTTATCTTCCGGTTAAAGTTTTTATGCCTTTCGTAATTCTGGAAGCAATATTTGTACAATTATCAACAATTTAAAAGCTGTTTAAGGGCGGTTAAGTTTTAAATAACATTTCGGACATATTTGTTTACATTTGAAACAGCAGAATTGTAGATTTGTTTCCAATCTAGAGAGACTAAGCTTCGCAACACAAAAATAACGCCTTTATTTATTATTGCGAATTAAATCATGCTTAATCCTTTCTGGAATTTTTTCGAGGAAATAAGTATTTAAGATTTACTTCGTAATTTTTAATACAGATATTTTGAGTTTTTATGTATTTTTGCCTTGTCGCGAAGTGAAAACTGAATTCATTGAATGAGAAATACTCAATCGTCTGTGAAAAACTGTTTCTTTTTCGTTTTGTTTGCTTAATTTCTTTTATACATCGTTCTAGCTTTGTTATAGTATTTGAATAGAACATGTGGCAACGATTAGATAATTCTTTAGATGATATAAATTTTGTGCATTCTGAGTTATTATATGAACAAAATATAATACTGTTAAGTAAACCTAGCGCCAGAGCGTCGCTATGGTAAACAAAATGAATTTTAAAGAATGCATTTATTCTATTGTGGTTTATACGCTGTCGGCGAAGTAGGTTTAATTCAATCTAATAAGTTAAACGAAATGCAAGAAAAAATGCGTATAATTTAATATTCCGTACAAGGAAGTCATGTGGTGTACACATCGGATTTTTTAATTTTCTTGTTTACTGTCCCGTTCCAAAGGAAATCATTAAAATTCTATTTTTCATCAATGAGTTCTTGTTATGGTAAGTTAAGTAAATTCTTGACTCCTTTGAAACACGATGCTTTTTACTTTTGTTAATAACTATTGTTGTCTTCTTAATTGTTGGTTCCATATTGAGAGTTAATAAAACAAAAATGTATTCGATCAGTTTCTTAAATCAACTGATGTTTCACTTTTAAATATTTATGTGTGTTTTGCAAAGTTCTGTAAAGCAGTCAAGTTTCGGCTGTATTATAAATTTCGAGTGTCTTGTATTCATTTAGCATACCAAGTAAAACATCTTTTACCACTTGCCAGCTACCTGATGATCTGCTTCTTCCTTCTCAATTTCTGATGAATAATGTTGGATTTCTTTTTTTGCAACTTATGAGCCATATGTCAGTTGATATAAAGTCTAGTATTTAGTCTCTCCTAGCATTTAGCGAATTAGTGAAAGAAGCTCTAGATGTAAACCAATGTTTTAGCTTTATAGCTTGTAACCATTCTAGAAATGCAACTTCAACGTATCTTGATTTTCTGTCTCTTTTGCGCTTTCTTGAAACATTTACAATTTTTATTAGTTCATCATTAATTTGTTGTTTAAATGGCACAATGCTGCTTGGGAATGTTAAATGTAAGTTTAAATGTAATTTTTCTCTGGCTGCAATTTCCAAAAACATTAAAATCCCAAATTTATTTTTTTTCAGGCTTTTCGTTTGGGATTTCGACAAGACAACAAACTTCGGTTGGAATTTCGACAAGAACACAACAAATTTAAAAAAAAGGCTTCTTCCAGTTATTTAATGAAATTTCAAAACTTACATTTCTAAGTCATACAAGCATTATCAATGTTCTTCAGTCTGCAGTTAACACTTTCTTTTCATTCAAGTACTTTTAATGCAAGTCTTAGAAGCACTCCGTGATTTTTTACTAGTTATTTGTGAACATAATATATCTATCTCAAGCGGAGAAATTTGAAGGTTGGAGCCTTAAAAGATATGATACAGAAGGTGTATTTTCATCTCCTATCAGCTGGTATTCGAAAAGAAAACCTCACTCAATTGCAATGACGCTGGAAAGATGTTTTCGTTAAATTAATAATAAGGAAAATTTGCGACTCTAAAGTTCAGTGCAGACAAAGAGCTCTTAAAACATTTTCTCACTGTTCAAAAAACTGGAGGTTGGAAAATTTTGATCAAACCCGTTTTACTGAAATACTGCGTACCTGAATGATAAAGCTACGGTCCTCAATACGTTAAACTGATGAACTACGAAAAGAGTTGGGTACAAGTAGGATATTCTGGCACTACCAGTCTTTCGCGAATAGGAGTTTAATAAACAGCGGATATGAGTTTAATTAAATACAGAGTTTTTCCATTTATTTTGGTTCCTAGAAATCTAAACGTAATAAGCAGCTAAGTTTTATTAACCAGTAAGCTTAATGAGCGTATGCCTATAAAGTGCGATAATTTAATTACCTGAATAGTCGTGTAGTGTCGCGAGTGACGTAACTGTATGAACATTACATGAATAATGTGTCTGTTGATGTTTGAGCTAATATATTCGTATAGTTGAGAGTGGCAGGTTGTTGTCAGATATGAAGTGGGAAATTAGTGACTTTGAATGCATTTTGCCATAAAAATAAGAATAGAAATTTAGGGCACCAAATTAACACTAAATTTTGTGTGAAAAAGCTACTGAATCTCAAAGCGGTTTGAAACAACACAAAGAGCAAAGATATAATGGAAACGCCTAGTGTTAGAGGGGCATAACAGATTCATGGA